ATCTACCAGTCTTAAGAGCCAGCTGTAAATGTAATTATTGTATATCTTAGGGTTTTGCTAGAGTTTCCTAGTTTTTTCTTTAATTCACTGGGTCGTGGGTGGGTGCAGCTTTCTAAATTATCCTAATGTAGGTGCTTGTATTTTAATTGACTTCTTAATTGTATCGTTTTTAACTTAGTATTTTATATTCATACGTTTTATTCATGAGCCTCTGGCTCGTATGACCAGGGCAACCCCATCCTACGTTTTGACGTTAATAAATTGTTTGATTAATTGATTGATTGATTGATTGAGAGTTAAAGGGTACAAATTACGAGAGGATACTCCTTTTGAGTCATTCCTGGTGGTGAATACATGTATAGGTGGTTTGCCCTTTATGTCATGGCTGCCATGTTGGTGGACGTAAACAATGGATATCTCATTAGCTTCTTTTGTTCGTCCACCAGCATTTGTTCCTTTCGCCATTGTTACCTGTCTCTAGAGATTAGTTGCAAACCACCCATACCAAATAATTCATGCAGGGTTTGGTGTTTTGAATACTTACCCTGGAAACAATATGCTATAATAATTTAACCCCTATACAACTGAACATTGGTATTCATATTCTCCACACTATCCCTTTTACATTTCCTATGCTTCTGACAAGGAGAATTTGTTTGACAATCAGGAGCTTCATAAATTGGTCATAGAGATATGACATGAGATGGGGTACAGGTGTCTATCAAGTGCTAACCAACCTCTTAAGTTTGTAACATGTCACATGTTGCATAATGACTAAGAAACCTCATCCAAGAGGTGTTATGTGTGATACACGGTGAGAAGGATCCCAATATAAATCGACCACACCAAAAACAGCTTGTGTGTGCAACAGATACTTTTTTTAGCTTTCACTGTAGCTTTCTGCCTTGCTATTGCATTCGCTTGGTTCAGGCCTGCTATGAAAGTCCATGAAAGTATTCAAGGTTCATAAACTTTATTTGATACACTCAATAAATTCAATAAAAATTCTTATTACTTTCACGCAGTATTGTAGCTTGGTAATTTATTTAGTGATATAAGCTAAAAATCCCTCGAAATTTAGTTGGGTTGAGAGGTGAACTCTGCCACACTGAACAGTATTCGGGCTCAGGTAATTCAGATCGTGAAATTTGCTACCTTCAATAGTTTTGAAGATGTTTAAGTTTAGATCACATCCCTCACCGCCCATTCCGCCTCCTCAATTTAATTTTTCGTTGGCGGAAGAAGCTAAAATGGAAATAAATAAGTGAGTTTTTGTTCCCATGCTTTTCTTCAAGAGAAAAACTTCAAACCAGCTATATAAATAACTTTGAACCACTTCGGAGGCACATGACTGCATTGAAGCGCTTGCAAGAGAAGAGGTGAGCTATTTTTTATTAACCAACATTTTAGGATCCTAAGTTTAACCTTTTTTACACGCATATCCTTGTAACTCTACTGCCGTGTCATCACAGTATGTGACTGGTGAAGTCGTACATCGAGTTCGGCCTGCCTATGCTAAATTGCCTTAACAAAGAAGCCATCATCTTGCCTGATCTTTCAACAAATTCTTCCTTTGAATTCAAGCGAAACATGCCGGAGACTGTTAACAGATGATCGGAAAAAAAAAAAAACCATCTCTCAGATAGTCACCAAGAGATTGTTACTAACTAAGCTTATCTTTTCGTCACATTTTCTCGGCCGTTGGGAAATATTCCTTGAAAATTTGGACTATGTCCAGTTCTGACGGAAGGAAACTTTCGCCCGGCTTTCGGGCAATCTTCGGAGAATTGGCGGCTAAAATAATTAAGGAAGGAAGCTATTTGGATTGTCTTAATGCTGTGAATGATTCATTTGAAAGCTCATAAAACAGTGTCTGTAAAAATATATTAGAAGCGAAAAACATAATCGTTTCTGTCGAAGCTGGAAACTTTCCGCTTGTCCCTAGTTCTTTCCGTCGACGTGGTCACAACATCGCCCCTCACGCATCACGTGTCCATGCGGGGTCTAAAGTATTCACTGTGGCGATGGTTCTAGGTATAAATCACAATTGACACGTTTTTCAAAAGGTGTAATAGAGAAAAGGACATCAAAAACTTCATCGAACTATCGTTTGATTGAAAAGGAGTTAAGTTGTTGGTGTAGATTTCTCGAGAAGATCGAATACTAACTGAACAAATTCTAACGAATATCCAAACTTTGACGACAAACTCTCCTTTTTCATTGTGAAACCAAATGTCACAAGATGGGTTTTCCAGCGGTTTGCGACATCGTTATAATTTCTCACGATCGCTTGGAGACGGCATAAATCAATTTTTTACATATTAAGTGCAAACAGTCGTGTATGTTGTCGACTATTCTTTAATTTCGTGACTATCATGCGCGATTGAGCTTCACTCGTTTACGTTTCGTAATAAAAACTGCACAGCGCGCGAAGACCACAAGGTTTATTCAGGGTGCCTTTTTCATCTAACATCCTCTGAAGTTAATATACCGCCAGCCACACACTGTATGCACAGCTGAACGACGCCTTTTTACGTAAATTATCCCGCATTGTTCACTAATGTTTCGCGTAATTTGCCCCGTTGTGTTTCACTATTCATTTCAGCGAGTTAAAATCTTCATTAATTGAAAATTGCGGACAACTTTCCACGGAAAAACTGTGAGGCCCTATAATCTCCTCGAACATCAGTTTTCAGGCTCAAAGCAGTATTTTTTTGTGTAAGGCAGAATTTGTTCGTATACGTGGAAAAATAAAAGCTTTCTCACACCTAAGTTAAGTTTTCAAAATTCAAAGCTTCCTTTTGTTAAGTCAGTTTTTGAATATTTCATTTTCCCGGAGATATTTGATAGAGTTACATTTAAAGCGGGAAAAAAAGTAGTTTGTTAATATAATTTATGTTATGTGAGCAAATCGGGATATGATCGACAAATATCAAAATTTTTCGTCCGCGCTATCAACTTAATAAAAAAGCTTCAACCAAATCAATTTACAGTCAAAGATGTTGTTCGGGTGTGTATAGGCCTCACGATTTTGCACATTTCCAACCCAACCAATCTGCATAACTCATGTTTTTTAACGGTTTAAAAGCCAATTGCATCGTGTATTTACATTACAAGGAGAAAATGTAGTCCTCCGATCAACAAATAAGCTCAAATGGAAACGATAAAAACAAATGAACTTTTGTTGTACCGAATAAAAGAGATAATTATGGTTGCGTAGGTTGAGTTTAAGAGATATGACGCCTTGTCTGGTATGTTAATACAACCGAAATCAAACCCTGATCACTGATTTAAATGGGGTAATGATTATAGCTTTGTTAGTTGTTTACAGAAGCAATGAAAATCTTTTTATAATAGAGCTCAAGCTCATATGAGATACAGTTGCCATATTGCTCTTATTAAAGAGTTAAGCGGTTAAAAGCACTTTAGAGTTGCAGAGAAGGGGAGTTGTTGTTAAACAGAATTAGTCTCAAGTGACTCTAAGACATCGGCGACGAGTGCGGATTAATTTGAAAAGCATTTTCAATTCTATGTTCATTGCAACCTGTTCTTTTGTTTCCCTTGGCTGATAACCCGAAATAAGTAAGAAAAAATTATCAGCAAATGAAAACAGTTTTGCAAAGCTATTATTTCGGCCAACTCAGTAAGTAGGAAGAGATTCTTGGTCAAATGGTTGAGTTATTCGCATACAACTTTTCATTTGTTTGTTCCGATTACTCTGCAAACACGCGATGGAGAACTGATAAAAAATATACATATGTAAGTGTCGTCTAAATGCCATCCTGCTTTTCCTTCTGGTGCGAACTTAGTGCCTCTTTCAAATTTCAGCGAGATGCGTTTCTCTAAGTTGAGAGAACCTTAGTTTTTTTTTTTTTTTTCGAATTAGTTGAAGCTGTGGTGTAGATTTATCTGAATAAAGGTTATTTAGAGAGACAAAGAGAAGTCCATTCGCAAAGGTGTTGGCTTGGAGAGTCTTCGCTGCGAAGTAAACTTTGAGGAATTGCTTATGTGAAAGAGAAACTCGAAGAGAAAATGTGTATGTGTGTCCTCCCAAACGATGTTATTAAAGTTCGTTTGAGAGTCAGGTGGAGATTTGGTTTAAAAAAGAACGGAAAACTGAAGTCCAATTCTTCTTCTCATTTTTCTTATGGAAGTCAGAGTTAATAATAAAGATGGTTGTTTTGCAATTGTCAGCAAGACTGTCTTGGAAAGTCTTCACTCGTTGAACTTCAAGTAATTACTGAGTGCGGAAGATATAAGCGTTTTACACGGATACTTTTGACTGATCAACGGTAACTTTTAGATCTATCCGTCAGTTTTTTTTTTTTTCTTGTACTGATAGTGTCAGAACCATTTAAATATGAGAATGAATTTTTATCAATTTTTTTGCTACAACGAATGCACTTTATCTACAAACCGTGATGCGTAAGCTAGAGGCTTTAAGTAAACTACTCGAACTGATTTCTTTTGTCGAAAAAATGACCCGGTTTGCTCATTTAAAACTCGTGTGTTCCAGTTTTGGAGATGATTCGGCAGGCGAACTCGAACAATATCACACCTTTTAAATGCCGGTGAGGTGTGAGGTGAGATTATTCTGTTAAGTTGTGGGTTCATTAAGCCTAAATGCGGGTTAGATTCTCATAAGCAAGTGAAAAAATTCTTTGGATGGACTAAAACTCTGAGAAACGTCTGTTTAGACAGTAAAATTAAAGATGACGGCTGATCGATGAAATGGGACGGTTTTCTCTCGACCTTAACTCCATGGAAACATGATGTTACGTAGCAGAGCGCTCGCTTGGAGAAGATTTTTTGTGTCGCTTAACAAAGCGAGAAATGAAGCTTTTGACACGCTCTCTCGGTATTGGCTGGCAAGCGTCTTTCACACCAGTTTCAATTAAGGGTTGCGGGCATTCATCACACAATTGGACAGCTTTGTAAACTCGTCCTCTATATTTGTAGCGAGTTTGCCTGTTAATTTAGTTTCTACGAAGCGAGCCTCGGGCAGTCGAGCCACATACCTAATGGATCTTCTACGCCATCATTATCTGTATTCGCACCAGCTTCCGTATCGCCTGGCAGGAATGCGATATGGGGCCGTCTCCCCTTATCAAGTAGTGTCTGTTCCCCGTTGCACCTGCGAGTGTTACTGTGAGAGGAGTCGAGCACAGTTTGCTGAGGGTGAATCTCGAGATGCAACAGACACCGACGGGAATGGAAGAGCTAGAGAGTTCGATGACCTAAAAAATGGTAAGTTGTTCACCCTTCGAAGGAATTCTATTTTTAGAGCACTGCGAGTGAAATACTTTCGCTCTGTGAGTTTTAAGATGCATTTTGAATTTTTAAAAGTCCAATTTATCAAAAATAGAAATTTTTACGCAATTTACGAGCTGATTGTTGTGTATAGTACCTCTTTTTCCGTCCAATATCATCCTTTTTTAACTTCTTGATAATATTGTAGTTGGTGAGTGCGGACTTTCAAAGAAACGTCACTGAGACGCGACAAAAAAAAAATCCTACTAATTTTCGGAGGAAGGAAACTGGAGTTACACTTGATTCAACTTGTCATGAAAAACTGTTTAAAATAGAAGTATCCCGTGAGCTTTAACCAAAATATATGTCCCTTGAGTTACTTCTTGAGGCGATTAACATTTTTCATTTAAATTAATAGCTATAGGAAAATCTGTTGCAAGGCACTATACTGCGCATGTAGACCGCGTACAGAAACTCGCACAGAAAAGACATCATGCGGCCTGATTCATTGCTCTATTAAATCGATAGCCTATTTTCTCAGTGCAAAATCTAAGTACCAATTATTTCTATAACCAGGTAACAGCTGTCTCTAATGCAGAAGTTTATCCTTCCCTTTTCGGAGGGGATTTGTTTCGGAAATGTTTCGCTTTTTTGACTACAATAGTAGAAATAATGTAATAAAGTCAAACCTCGGTTCGGCTCTCGCTTAGTAATTTTGTGTTGTTTTCTTTATTTACGGCCCGTAAGTGGCTAATTTCGGAAAAATTTAAAAGAAAATTGTCCTCTATATATCTACCACTAATTCGAGAAGACCTGATTCACCGTCTCCTTAACAGAGAGTTATTCCATGTAATATAATGTTTTTTATTGTTACAAATAATTATCTTATTCATTTCGCACTGACGCTAAAATTGGACTCGGATACTGGTTTTTGAAGTTTTAGAGGTAAAATAAAATATACCTTTATTATTTCCAGTAGTAAAACACTCTCTGCTCGGCTTCAAACGCAGAAAGTACGGGCGCGCCAAGACCTTTTATTAACCACCGCTGTTTTTTTACTAATAAATTATTGTCCTACTAATGAACTCTTCTTAGCCCGCGTAAAATCATTAAGAACCAAAATAAATGCAATATTCCTAGGCACTTACGTTAACATTTGTATACAGGTTGATTTCACCTACGCTTTTCCCATAAAAACTTCAGTCTTTAAGTAGTTGTTTTGTGTTGATGGCAAAATGAAATTCCATCTACTTTTGTGTATTTTGGTGAGTTACTCAGCACAGTTCGACTGAGATCTGTACATGCGATGTAAACCTCTTTTTACAATAATTTAAGCATTGTTAGTTTGGTTTCTAAACTTTTACCCAAATTTATCTTTTAGAGAAAGTGTCCGATCGATCCGTTGTAAGACATCAAAAGTTCCTTATTTTGATATCAATGTTTTCCAACATGTCACTCATTCACAGATCGATTTCGACGTAAAATTCAACATAATTAACTTCTAGGCGATAGCTTGGTTGGCGCATCTTTGCTCAGCTGCCAGCTTGTGAAAACAGAGAACCGGCGTTTATCGATCATTCTTGTATCGAAAAATACACAAAACCATTGCTTTATACAAACTGCGATTCAAAATTTCTCACCATCTGAGTACTTTTTTATTGCCTCATTATCTCTGCAAACTCGTGTAGCATCAAATTTGTTTCCTGATAAATTGCCTCCCATGCCAATTAACCACTGATGGCGAGGAAGTAGTAATCAAGTATTTCTGATAACAGGAGTTTAGTAACGGTAAAAAAGATGGCGGTTTCTGCATGGTTTCGTTTCCTATTTTACGCCTTAATGAGCGCTGCAGATCTGAGAATCAATTTTTGCTGGTTAGAGAAAACGGAAATCGATGCTAATCCAAATAGGAAGTCGGTTTGATATGACTCAAGAGGGATGTTTAAAATTTATTACGTTCTCGTCCATATACCCACTCTTACGAAGTGTTTCAGTCACAATACACTTTTATTACTGTTATACTTTTGTTGCTTTTTCTTTCTTTCTTCCTTCCTTTTCTTTTTTCTTTTTCGTTATGAAAAATGATATTTCAATTATCTGGAACCCACATTTCAAAGGTATTTAGGATACTAGAAAAATGTGATTTTTTCCTATGTAAATCGAGTAGTTCTCCTGGCCGCAAATTTGATTCAGACTCCTAAAAAGAGCTTTAAAATCAGAAATAAGAAAATTATGTTTCAAACTGAGTTCTCATTCGATTTCAAATCACTAATCATTTTAAATCGACTAATTAAACCCAAAGATACCTAAATCTATTCCTAATAATTGGTGTTTTTTTTCCTGTTTCAAGCTCAATAAATGAACAAAGGAGATAGTGTGTACCCTGAATGGTTTCACTATGATTTGTCTAATGTCATGATTCTTTCATAACACGTTCAGGGATTGTGTTGTTGCACCTTGAATACAGTACTAACACATATGCACAGGTGTTGGTGAATATCGCCATTCTGTTGATATGTGTAAACTAGATATGTCCAAACAAGCAAATAACGTTTATACGCACGTCAACCTCTGGGAGGAGCTTTCCGCTTGCTTCTTTGTTTTGCATACTTATTTTGATTAGTTCACCCCCCAGAGGTCCCGGATGTGTCACAAATCACTCAAAACTGAAACGGGACATTTATGACCATACGGCTTTCAGTCCTTCTATACTGTGGTTGAGATCTAGCAAAACTGTGTTTCTGTATGAAGAAAAAAGACCATTACTTGCCGCAAGTGACTGAAATAAGTGAAAAATCGAAGTCATCTTCTTCGGCACAGATAACAGAAGGTGAACAATCTCCTGATGGTAAGGCACACATAGGGGGTTGAGTTTTATTGACCAATCGCTAAACTCCGTTGAGTTTAACTGCTGCGGCTCGGCACATTGCTTTCGACACAAACTCGGAAACTGCTCATTTCACTAATGCTTATTATATATACTTCATTTCCGCAGCAGACTTCTGTCACGATAAAACCGGGGGCAGGAGAAACAGAACCACTTACAAGAGATGGCAAATCGAGGAGCTCGAGAGAGCATTTGCTCTGAATCCCTATCCAACCAGTGTGTTTAAAAAGACCCTCGCTTTGAGACTGGGACTGAGAGACTCGCGAGTTCAGGTAATTTCATTCGTGGGTTTTCAAAGTTCTAGGTACACCCTCTGCCGACTGTGCGGTCCTCCTTAGGGAACAGTCATTATTTTTTCGCCTAAGGGAGGAGGGGGTCGGAGAATTTTGACTGTGTCAATATAAAATTCAGCTGATTCCCGCCCCCCACCCCCCGCAAAAAGTCTATAGGATTCTAATGATCCTCCTCATTGGCAATTCATTTTTCATAGCCCCCCCCCCCATTTACATTATACTCTGTTAGCGACCACTGGAGTTGGCTCTCCCATAAGCCAGGTGGCTTCTTGGGTCTCCTCACCTTCTAACCGTAATCGCTGTAATTAAATATTTTTATTGTTAAAATAAAGCAAATAAAAGATGATGATGATGATGATGATCCCCCGTCCGTTCCCCCCCTGAAAACCGTATGCCCCCCCTCCCATATTCTCCGAGCCCCCCTCCCAGGTAATCAAAGATAAATGGTTCCTTATTGACGCCCATTAGAATTGAACATTGATGTAAAAACTCAGAACCATTTTGGTATACGCGTTATTCTCTACAGGTTTGGTTCCAAAATCGTCGCGCGAAGGCAAAACGAGAAAGACACGGCTCGTTTGAATGTCTTAACGATACAGAAGTGGAAATTACAGAGGAAGAAAAATCTTCAGCGGGGGAAAATCAAACTGACGTTGAGGAAAACAAAGAACTTGACGTAGACGTTGATTGAAACTACATTTGCTTTAAAAATTGATCTAATACCATTGGGCTCGGCTTGAATGGTGCTCTTGCAACAATACTCAAACCAGAATAACAATGCCTTCGTCTTTAAGAATGCCAGCCTCAATATAAGGCAACGAAAATGGAGGGTACAAGGAGACCCTCAAATGAGTTAAAAGAAAAAGCACCACTGCGCATGTACATTTTCCTGCCTCTTAGCCAATCAGCTTAGCTAGACTTAGAACATTAGCTTTAGGAAAAGACCAAATATCCTGCAAGAAGATGTGATGCGATGTTCATAGAGCTGAGATGAACTGATAAAGCCCACCTTGAATTTTGTTAAATAACAATTGCCAAGAATAATGTGGCCATCGAAAATAGATTAATCAGTAGATGTAAATATGATGTAAATAGAAAACCAGCGTGAAGTTAAAGTCTATTGAGTCCTATTTTCCTGATATATCTCTCTCAGCGGAGACGTGTTTGCGATATCGTTGGAGGCCTCCTGTTGAAGTCCCGACCAAGTTTACCAAAAAATTACATTTTCTCAGTGTTGACCTTTTAAGTCTCAGAAGTGATTAACATGTTACTTCTCCCTATAATATCCAAACATTATCCAGCAAACAGGTAATGAGAATACCAAACCTTATCAAGTAGTGATTAACATGTTACTTCTCCCTATAATATCCAAACATTATCCAGCAAACAGGTAATGAGAATACCAAACCTTATCAAGTAGTGATTAACATGTTACTTCTCCCTATAATATCCAAACATTATCCAGCAAACAGGTAATGAGAATACCAAACCTTATCAAGTAGTGATTAACATGTTACTTCTCCCTATAATATCCAAACATTATCCAGCAAACAGGTAATGAGAATACCAAACCTTATCAAGTAGTGATTAACATGTTACTTCTCCCTATAATATCCAAACATTATCCAGCAAACAGGTAATGAGAATACCAAACCTTATCAAGTAGACGTTGTCATCTTAAGCTCGCTGAAAAATTTTCGTAACTAACCTTTAAGAAAATGTGTAGCAGTTAAAGAGGACCGAATGAATTGAAACTCTGAATGAATCAGCTTCCTGAAAAAAAACAAAACAAAACAAAAAAACACAATATCTACATGGCGAGCCGTGGCTCGCCATCGCTCGATGAAAGTTCGCTGAAATTCCCTGGCTTGCTTCAGCAGAGCCTATTACACCTAGCTGTTTGTATCGTGACAAAAAGCAGAGCCTGAGTAGCACTGAAAGGACAAAGAAGTTAAATAATTTGAGTAATAATGCTTCAGTTACAATACACGGCTTTTCTCTGTTTGGAAAAAAAGGGGGGGTGAGTTTACAAAGAAACTGTGACGCTGCATGGGTACATGGGGGAGTATGATAAATCCATTTTATCTTGTTCTCTATTTTCTGCTAGTACATCTCGGCATGTAAAAAGTTTTTCATAGCTCTACAGAAACTTGACAAAATAAATTTGCCCCATTGCTTCAACGGCTTCCAATCCATGCACGAACTGAAATTAAACGATTTCGGTTGTCATTATAATCGGTGTGTAACAGCTAAGAAGAACAAAAAAAATATATACAACACATGTTAATCTCATCAAAAATTTAATTTGCTGCAAGCAAGACAAGTTATTGTGTTTGCCAATGAATTCTTTATACAAGAACTGTACACAGAAGGGCCGTGGAAAAATCTTTTTCCGGTACAATATCAGTTGTTAGAAAAGCCAAAAGTGATATTGCTCTAAAATTGCATATACAATATATTTGAGATCAGCTGTTCTTGAGAGCTTTGGAGAAATGCATCTCGGCAAAGTGATTTCTGGTCTTCCTTGAGCTGCGAACAACATTGTAAACCTTTTGCTTCGTTTTCTTCAAAGTTTACTGCCATCATCCTCTTGTACAGTACATAAAAACTGACCATCGATCGTTTGAACGATGGTTAAAGTCTCAAGATATTAAACCTTTCTGCATAAGGGGGCCGCGTTAATAGGTAACCATGGCAACTTCAGTTGTCCTGCGTGCCGGTCACAGATGCGTTTGATTTAGATTTTTAAATTGCATTTCGCCGGCTGGCAACACATTTTGCAACGTTGGATCGTAAACCTCTTGTTACCGCCACGAAAATAGCACATAATAAATGATACATCTCCTGAACTTGACCGAGCCTTTGACCTTCTCATAAACCGATGCTTTGAAGTTCTTGCGAAATATAAATATTTGTCAGCGTAGGTCTGACCTGCTCTGTTCTACCACGAAGTCTGTACCCCACCAAGAGAATACCGCAATCAAAACTACATTCGCGCAAGACAAAACATGGTAAAAAAGAAGTGGGGTCTTCGCTTAATCTAGGATATGTTACTCGGCTTGGAAAAAATCCTGCTGTTGAAACCGGTTTATGTCTTCTCATACTAATTCACATATCACTGAATAAATTGATTCATCATTTCAGTGTTTATGAATAATTCATATGTGAATAATTGCGGAGAATGTATTCTGCACCTTTGTTCAGTTGATTACACTATCTATTTGTTTGGACCCACGAGTCAAATGAAAAATATATTTCTGAGCGGTTGTGTTGAAAGGCCTGGAATGTCGACCAGGTTGAATTTCTTCTCCATTCGCTCGTACTCGTACTGGTTTATGCGTGGTGTTTGCCCTTGGCGAGAATTGAGCTTTACGGTAGAAGTATTCAAAACTCGAATAAATGTTGGATGGTGATGGATAAGGGTCAAACAATTTATGCCCTGTTCAGGTTTTTTGACATTTGTAAATTGTTAGTATGCCTCATCGAGGAATTTCCTTTACCTTGCGCATCACAGCATGCTAAGGATTACCCGTCATGCACTCGGAGCGGATAATCAGTAAGGAAGTGCACGGCAACCGAAAACAGCGGATAAGTTTAAGAGGGAGCAAAGAAATATAGAAACCTTAAGAGTGAAAAGAAATGGGCTTTTTTTACTTTTCCTTCAGGAAGGTTAGGCTGGACTATTTCAAGAAGGTTAGGCCGCACTATTTTATAGAAAAAATGGAGTGACACCAGCGAGCTAATTGGATAAGTATGATCAATGTGACTATAATTTGCCGGGCAGATGAAAAGGAAAAAGCTTTTGTAAATCTGTCACACTCCGAGAACTTCGTTCACCCCAAGATATCAAAATCATACTTTCGGCAGGAAGTGCAGTTGTTAATACCTTCATCTCTTTGACATCCTTAAGATAAGAAAAATCTGACTTTTTCAGTCAGTGTCAAAGTTTGGGTCTCCCTGTATGAATTGATTCCTACAAGGTTTTTTCAACGATGGCGTACACTTTTTGTGATGCCACTTTATAACTTTGGTCGTCTTGAGTTGGATTTTCATGATATATAAGGACTCCAAGGGGAACTGAACAAGCGGGTCTCTCTGAAAGCCTCAGAACACGAACTCGATCTGTCCATGGTGTGCCGTTTTCAGTAGTTGCACCGTAAGCCTTCTTTCCAGCACCACCAATGTCATAGCTTTTCTCTATAATTTAAGGCATACTTAAGCAATGAATAATATATCAGAGCTGTTTCACATTTACGTCTTGAGTTGGATTTTCACGATATATAAGGACTCCAAGGGGAACAGAACAAGAGGGTCTCTCTGAAAGCCTCAGAACACGAACTCGATCTGTCCATGGTGTGCCGTTTTAGTTGCACGGCAAGCCTTCTTTCCAGCACCACCAATGTCCTAGCTTTTCTCTATAATTTAAGGCATACTTAAGCAATGACATGATATATCAGAGCTGTTTCACATTTACGTTTATACTTGAAAATGCCGATGGAATTCACTGTTTGTGGAGCCGGCATGTGGCCATTGAGTTAATAGATAGGATTAATTCCAATCTTGACATATTAAGCCGTTGAAAACTTAAACCAATTAATGGTGTTCCCGGCTGATCAACGCCACTGAATCAATTCAATTATGAGTTTTAAGTTTCCCAGCAAAGGTCAGACTGATGGTGTCGCGAAAACTACCGAATCTTAGTATCTTCAAAACAGCAAACTTCGTTCCATCATCAAGGTACTGTTAATGGAAAATAACTCCGTAGAACTTAGTAATCGGATTTGTGTAGCATCCAACACTTTTTAGAAAGTTCGATAAATGACGTATTGAATCCATGATTGAACTTGCTATCACACTCTCTCCGGCTTACTCATTCGCTGATTAATTAACTCTTCAAATTTTTACCTACCTGACCTCTAGCCGGGGTTGGGATGGTTGTACTTTAAACCATAAGTTGGTAACATATAGGTTGAAGCTTTACACTGGACAAGAAATGGAGAAATACTTAAGATCTGCGAGATGATAAATGTACTTAGCATTTTTGAAGCTTAAGAGGTTCTGATAATTTTGCTAATAGCTTTGCTGCTCTTAAGCATTTTAACTTCGTATGCTCTAAAATTCTATACGTCAAACCTTTCTGGTATTTTCATTGTAAGGTAAACCTTGCACAATGCGCGAATTGAAGCTCGAAAACTCTTGAATTTCCTGACGTTTCGAACAGTGCATTCTAACTCTAGTTATGCGTCGTTTTAGACAAGAACCCGGTAGCAAATCTTACAGTGCTAACTTGGGGACATTTCAAAATATCAAAACTGAATGTTCTTCGTGTTATAAAGATTTCAGCGTCCAATCTCTGGGAGATCTAATGTTAAATGTCTACTGACTAAGCCAATTAGGTTTTGTATCCAAATAAAACTTAAGAACCGCCCACAGTGGGAGTGTTAAGTCATGGCAAAGTGAGGGTAGCATTGCCTTTGGTATCTATTACTCTGAGAACTCTAGAATAATACAATACACCTGAATAACTCACAATTTTACAAAATTAGATCTGAGCATTAATATTTGTCGCGAAAAACAGAACGCTACTTACCATCAGTTTTCACGTCTGTTGAAACAAATCGTTTACTCTCAACTGATAAAGTCAAGAATTGAACTTAATAAAGATGGAATATTAACTTCATGAAACAGCTTGAGAAAGTTTGTTTATTTCACGAATGTCTTTAATCTATTCGTCGCACGATCCTAGTTAACATGTGTGGAAATTAATTCCCTTTATTAGCTTCCAATTGATCAGGAAGTATTGTTGACAGGTTATCTTCGACCCCCAAATTCCCGCTAATCAGTTCAGACAGGTCTCGTCAGCTCCCAAGTTTCACCAGTTGATTTTTAATGCTCACTCCTTCACGACATTTGTACTTGTTGATCTCCACTTTTGACTCGTTTTCATTGTAATACTTAGCGCTGGCATGGCGAATGTTTAGGCGAAGACGGAAGCGTCGAAAATTCCCATTGTTCACGGGACTCTCACGATGAGCGTCAAAGAGATTCGATTCAGTGACCTTGTTACGCACCTAGGCAGGCTAGCTTGCTTGAGGGGAAATTTTCATTCTAGAAGGCTTTGTCGTCATTGAGTAGGCAATCAATGGGTCATTAACATCTATAACCAAAATATGCATAGAATTATGCTCAAACAATAACTACGAAATTACTTTTCGGGGGAAATCGGCTGTAAGTAAGAACATTGACACACAGGGAAAATCGCTATAGATCCGTTTTAATTGACTTTAATGAAAGAAGAGACACATTACCGGTTTTCTTTTTTTTTTTTGGCATATTTTAAAACCGGAATTGATTAAAAAGGGAGTTAGTTAAATCAGGTTAGGTTCAAGAGAGTCAAGAAAATTTGAGATATGCAGACTACTCAATGACGGTTTCTCAAATTAATATTTTCCAGTCGTGTTGAGAGTTTCTAGAGGAAATATTTTCTCATTTTTTTTTTAGCCAGCACTCCGGCTATTTTGTTCATTTTTCTTTGCTTGTAGGACAGGTAATGCTGTAATATAATAAATGCCAAGTCTGCCCCGCTATGCTTCCAGTCACATGAAATGCTCGCTTATTTTTTTTCACATCGGTGTTGAGACCTTCTAGTGTTTAAATTGACGTAGTAGGGGGCGGAGGCGAGGAAACGTACCCAAATCATAGATCATTTCTAAAATAGAAACCTTTCTTCGGTCAGCCTTGCCTGATGATATCTGTTTCCATATTGTATTGCAGCAGAGCCCCTCCTTGTAATATTTAAGTTTGGCAACCGCTACTATTTCTGTTACGGCCAATTGTTGGAACGGTTTTACTTTCATAAGGACCTTAATTTACAACAAAGCTATTTAATTTGGCTACAAATTATTATTGTTTTTCTCTAAATTCAACATCTAACGTCGACGTCAGGCAACTAGGAAAGGCTTGTTTTGTTTTAATTAGCAGAGGGAGTGGTGACGACAATTGCAATATGGATAGTTTATGATACTTATACAGAACTAAATAAAACTGACATTATTGTGCAAGTATCTGTCCATTTTCTATAAAGAAAGAAAAAACTGTTCGCGATTAATCCTGTTTACAATTATGTCAACCACTTTTAATTTAAAGCTTATGAGAGCTTGATCTCACAAATAAAAGGTTCAAAGTCTGGATAAATGATACACTCACTGATGCGATAGATGTGTTCCATACCTCCGCAAACCGCCGTCAGCAAGAGTAACCTGACTTTTCACTTGTCTTCCCCTAGTTATTACAAAATATCACTTTGATAATTTGTGCTGTTGTTTGTTCACAAAAATCTTTGTTTTCAGACAAAGAAACAGATTACGTATGTTCTGAACGTCCTCGGGCAACCTTTGGAGTTGACCCCGAAATGAAGTTTGGTTCCACCTGAGGTACCGTGTTTCTTAGTATTCCTGTACTTTTATAGCTTGACTAACTTCAGTGTAAAATCTGCTGGTGACTTATCTCTAAGTTCGAGAGTTACAAATGTTAAAAATGTCGCATGTAATTTACATCAAGGGCAGAATATTACTGCGCCAACTTATATTCATTATGGCTGCCGTGTTTAAAGAGCCTAAGAAATTCCTATCCTGAATCGTCAAAGATCACCAAAAATTAAAATCAAATTCAGAGCGTCATGTCGAGGAATAAATTGTTCAGTTTTTAATCCATCGTGTCAGGGGATTTTCCTTTCTCGTTTTTATCGGTCCCTTATCGTTTAAGCTCCCCAAAACGTATTCAATCATCATTCAGTTTACATCATTTATCCTATTGCAAAATTCACAGATGGATCATAAATTGGTCACTGGTCATCTCCAAAACTATCCTATTTTCAGAGTAACCATGCAAATGAGTCCTCCATCGTATTGACATGGAGCCAACGTACTATGATTAAAAATATGACCACTGAATTTCTGCTGTTAGAACCAATTTTTCCCTTAGTGCCGTTCAATCAACAATATTACAGTATAATTTTCTAAGTTCGGTGTGGCAGTTTGCCAAGAGAGTTAGCCTGAAAGTGACAATTCATTCTGTCAATGATTCCGTGCTGTGGCTTTTTCTCATTTCCTGACCGGCAACGAAAACGCTAACAGGAAAGAGAGTTACCTTAGACTACTGACGGTAGTCCAGTGGCAGACTTTGGTTTGTGTCTGATGAACTGTCACCGTTAAGTAGAACACATGTTTAACCGAAAATTTTGGAACTCATAAGTCAATAAATAAACATGAATGGGTCATTTGCGCGATCCCGTCAATGTTACCGACGTTGAAATTTTAGATTAATAATATCCATACCAACGTTTCAAGCAAGAGGAATTTAACAGCAAATGTGTTGAAAATCAACCTCTATAACCAGCAATATAATTGAGCCCACTTGTTGCCAAGGTCTCTAGTTTCACAATGCACCTAACTTGCAACGCTGAGAAAAAACTGATTAGGCTGTATGTGTAGCTATATATATTTGAATGTATTCCTTAGACGATGATGACGAACATTGTAACATTTTGATTCTGGAATAATAATCAGTACAACCATAGCATTTTTTATAAGGGGGGGGGGGGTAAGTTTTTAAAGAAACTGTGGTGCCACGTGGGAGAGGGTAACAAGGTAATTTTGTTATATCAACTAAGTTGAAATTGTAAATTGGCTACCGTAAAGAGTTAAAAAGCTGACGTTTCGAGCATTAGCCTCCGTCAGAGCAAAGGATGAAGGGTTAACGCTTGAAACGTCAGCTTTTTTAACTCTTTACGGTGGCCAATTTACAATTTCAACTTAGTTGATATAACCAAATAACATTTTTTACTGAACTACAATAAGTGGCAATGGCAAAAGTGCTTGGCATGCCTCCCTTTTACAAGGCAATCAACAGCCCTCCACTCGACATAATAAACAGAAATAATGTAATTCATCTCTAATAAGTTACTTGAAAGTCTTGTCACTCCCTTCAAACTATGTTGCCTGAAGTTAGTGACCGTTTTGTCAACACCAGACAACATTGAAATGGGCCGGAGAGGGGGAGATCAATGAAAGCTATAGAAATAATTCAAAAAGTGATAAATTGTGTCAGGACGTTTGCCACACATTGTAGATGTAGATATTTGTGAATTTGGAAAGTTTTGTGTCTTATTTTCTAAAGGAATAAATACAACATTCCATCTTCAAGAATACAATAAAGTTTCTCATCAGTCATATGTCCGGCTGATCAGACTTTAGCAGTTACTGCAATCAGTAGGGCGTGGCTTTGAGAAGCATATGTTTTCGGAATTCTACCGGTCGATTGTGTAAAGAATATTTTTTTTCCTTTTTTAGACTATAACTGTGAGGAAGCAATGTTGAAAGGCCGATAAAACTCACCGCGATGAACACACAGCCGACATGTTTAACGCAACTGGCAACTGACCGACAAAGAGACGGTAAGAGACATAAGTAATTGCTATTAAAAAATTTACAATCTGTTTTGCGTTTGTTTATTATAGTAAATTGTTCAAGGGTTGATAATTTATACTATACAAGTCTCTGAACAAGTCCATTATCTTGATCTTTTGCCTCAAAAATGTGTCTTTTGGAAATCTATTCTTCGTTGAAAGTTAAACGGGAAGCATTTGCACACTCGTAATAGCGATAAGATTGGTGAAGGGATCCGAAAGGTTGTTTCTTTCAGGCGGGATAGCCTCAGGAAAGACTTTTCTCACATGTTGAGAGCCTCGCGTCAGACGATCTGTCATAATTGAATTTCCTGGCATCAAACTGGATGATCTTCCCTTATTCTCGCTGACAGTGATAAACCGGTAAACATGACGAAAGAAAACCTGACGACTACAGTGAATTCCGTTTGCCCTTCACCTGCAACGGGCTAAGTACGTTCATCCTCCACTAAGTAAACGCTTCTCTCAAAGATACAATGAAAAGGTTAACAGAGCTAGCGAGATTTACTTATCAATCGGATTTAGAGCAAGTGTAAATTTAATCAGTTATGTCATTGGCATTAGCGACAGTGGGGCGTGTGTGGTCTCGAAGCTTAAAATCTTTCAGATCCCAGGAGCGATATGGAAAATATTCCACTAATTTAATTGTGAAAAGGGTTTGTTAAATCCAGATGCGCGAGATGATTTCTCTCAGATATGCCACTGAGCAGCAGTTAAAATATGGCCCTTGAAAAAAAGAGCAAATACTTCGTGTTATACTATCATCGCAGATGAAAGGGGATAACGCTGTGATTTATAGCATTTTCGCTTTGATTTTAAGGAAGCACTAACCAAAGTAATGAAACGCGCAAATCCCTGAATTTCCATTTATACAAATGTGCCCACTGTAAATATTCCACAATGGCCGATAAATTACTACCTTTTTATTCGAGAGTTTCGGTTACTAATCTCTCTGTTACGATCAGCTCAGTAGTAATCACACAATGCCAAAATGTTTACCTAACAGCTAAACGCGTAGAATAAACAACCCGAATCACAAACAATCACCAATTAGTGCGCGAAGTAGACAATCGCACAACTGAGCGGCTCCGGTCGCTTTGGTGTCGAGTGATAGTTATGGCGTCGGGACGAGGTTTATCAGCTCTAATTACTTTCGATATAATTAGATAATTAGACAGCTGACTCGATGGCTTGTTAGTCATCTCTGCTCGCCTGCTTTCCCTGCCAGTGGCTATGGTCTCGGGTTTCTGTTAACAACGTCCATTGCTTTCCTAACAAGGCACCTAAAGCTTAGGCGCGTAATCAATCCTTCCTTCTGACGGAAGCACACGCGTTTTCTTAAAGCGCACCTCGGGAGCGCCATCACACATACTTTGGCGCTGGTTTCGACTGGAGCGACAGAGGATTATGAATTTCCATCCTTCAACTTTTAATCTCATGTTGACTGAGGCTGAGTCCTGTGCGCACGCAGCTGGGGCAAATGTGCGCTATTCGTGTGCGACAAATGTCGGATCAGATGCAAATTTATTCCATTATCCTGTAACTCTTGGCAGTTTGGCTGATTTGAGTTCGGACTCCGAAGTCGAGATAATCGAGGCCATAGGTATGCAAATTTCTTCTTTGCACACCTTTATTTGTATTTTGATCTCGTATTGTACGCTGTGAAAACGCACTTTGTTCAGGTTCCTGACCTTGCTTGTAACATTGTGAAAGAAATTCATTTTCTTTGTCTTCCATGCGATGTCGTTCTACAGAAATCCCTATCTTGCCCAAGAAGCGGAGAAGCAGGACGAACTTTGATGCTTGGCAGCTGGGAGAGCTCGAGAAAGTTTTCAGGAGGACACAGTATCCGGACGTTTTCACCAGAGAGGCGCTCGCTCTAAAACTGGACTTACTCGAGTCGAGAGTTCAGGTGAGAAAATTGTGTCATGAATAGCAAAGGGTATTTATCACACCTTTACGTGCATAACTCTTGTATTGTTGTCATACCTGGTGTTTTAAGTTGCGGCTGTGAAACAGGAACTATCATTCCCCTCAGAATGTCTCAATTCTTGCTCGCGTTGTTGATCTTAAATTCTTTTTAACTTCTTCAAACCAAATCTTTGCTACTCTAGAAGCCATTTTCAAACATTTGGATAGAGAGCAAAGTTCGTACTATACCATCTATAACAGATGCTCGCTCGGGCGTTAATTCTCTTAACACGTTTCGCGGGTTGCCTAACTTAGTTTTGCACTAGTCAACCGAACGATGAACAGACTCCTTCACTCTAGGCAAAAAATGTAATAGGAGCCACTCTAAAAACGTGCAATTTTCATGAAAAAGTTCACTGATTCGAAATCTTGGCTGTGTTTTATTGATTCCTTTTTATTTGAGCTTAAGAAATTTAAGGAAACGAAAGTTTTTGAACAGAAGGTTGCATTCTGGTTCTTGGCGCAGTGGACACCCAACTGGGCTGGTTCCTGTCGTGTTCCTTGATTTACACACCTAATTAAATTTTGCGAGTTGTTCGGACCACTTATTGTCAATAAACTATTAAATAAAATAATTCCTTCATTTTCCATCTAAAGACAATGTTCTACCTCAATTACTTCTTACATTTCCGTTGGCTGCAGTTTAGAGTTTTAAAATAAGCAGCGGCGGCCATTTTGGGATAATGTTTTCTGTTATCTGTAGGGCTTGTAATGGCGAAAATTTTAAAGGCGACTGTGAGTCGCCAACAGTTTCCGCTTTGAGCGTCTTAGAAATGGATTCGTGCAGAGAGTTTGTCTCGGTTTTTACGTTTTCTTAACATTAACTTGTGCAACTGTTACCAAAAGAAAGCAAAGCAAATATGAACTCAGTAAGCACTCGAATCCGAGCAACAAGACGTTTAATTTGTTTCTAGTAATGCTGTGAGATTCATCAGCTAATTCTGTCTAAATGGATGAGAGTTTAAACCAGTTCTCACCTTGCTTGCCTGCTGTTAATCGCTATATAAATCAATTTTCCCTGTCGGACGTTTTAGTTTAATTTGCGTTAAGCATTTCTGATTATGGTTTTTGTTGAGTGCCTTTTGGGTGCGAAGGAATGTTTGTGGAAAGTGATTGTTGGAAGGCATTTTGTTCATCTCCTTTAACGTCCTTAAACGGCGATCAAACATTGATCTTTAAGCACTTATATTTGAAACTCCAATTAACTAAGAAGCCACGATGATTGCTATTGCTGAACGTCGATGATTTTCTCCTTCAAAATGTATGCAAAGGATGCTAACAGTCGAACAAGTCATTCTTCAAAAACATGCAGCGTTGATTCCGAAACCCCTTACTCGCGGAAGGGAGGGTTAGAACTATGTTTTAATGACCTTAGAGAAAAATGTTTCCTTTTCCAAAAGCACCTTTGATGAGAAATACTTCCTCAGTTTAACCTTCAAGTTTTTAGCCTGTCAAAGTATAATAAATTACACTGAGAAGGGTCACGAGTGATTAATGTCCTGTGGAAAGCAAGAAGCCGTCACTTCTCTTGTCCATTGTGATAACTCATTACACACGCTCTCTTTTTAGTTGTACAGTTTAATGGCGTATAAAAAAGTGCGCACCAGTGTTCTTATTTGGAGATCGAAACTCCCTTTCATCCACTGAATTCGCAAACATATTTAAGCGATGAAAAGGTTGGCTTTTGTTTACATTTGGTTGTTGTTGTAGGGTTTTCGTTGGGGTTAATTGAATCGAGTCGAAGACCATAAATCAAATTCTTCGCCATGATAAATTATAGTGAAGTTGTCGTAGTAAAGATATTGAATAATTAGTGCCAATTGCATGTGATACATTTGATTTACTACCTTGATGGTTTCATATTTTTGCAATCACGCAAGTTATGGCTGTTTTTTGGACTGGACTGAAATGAGTGTTTTCTTGAAATTTGTTTAGGTCTGGTTTCAGAATAGGAGAGCTAAACTGCGAAGGGAAGAAAAAACCAAGGCGAGACCTGGCAGAAGGGAGAAAAGTGAGGTCGAGAAAACAGCGGTAGCTTTAAAAATCCTCGAAGTGTTCGACAGGGACTTGACTCCGGAGAACAGCTCGGAGGAAATTGATCAGCCCCCAACACCACCAAGTGTGGATAACAACACCCAGCCATTACCCTCATCGTCCACTTTCAGTATCGAGAGTATTCTCTCGAGGAAAGATCCTCCCGCACAACTTGAAAAGCAGACCACAGTTTCCCAAAGTTATAATAAAAGTTTTCGTATTGAGGAGCTCATTGACGTCACGAATGACTTACAGGATAGATTGAAAAATAACACGAACGGATCAGCTCCTAGTGCAGTCGAGTCCTTTAACGCCATGGCTACTTTATCAAATACAACTTCAAGTATAACTATCAGCTCTGAAAGAGAAGACTCTGCGAAAGACAAACGCACCGCCAACAACATTTCATCTGAAAAAGACACTCTGCTGGCACCATTTTATGTTCCTACTCCAAGACATTGCGCTACAGGGTTTCAGAGCGTAGCCCTCGAAAAATACATACACCCCGAGACTTTGCCACCGCATAACGCAGAGGTGTTTGAGAACTTTCGTAGTTCAAGTATTATGCGACTGAGAACACGAGCCGAGGAGCATTTGAAGCAACTGCGAGTTTCTTAAGTTAGTTGACGAAATTGGAAAAAAAAAAGCAAAAAACAACACTTTCTTCAAACACTTGATGTCTCATGATCTAACGCAATCGACGTGTGACTCTATGGCGGTCATGAACCAGCTTTCCATTCGTTTCGTTTGTAATTGTCCTTGTTGCTTTCACGTATGAGCGCTATTTAAAAAAAAATATATTTTCCTCCCAAGAAAGTGTGTCCTCTTTCACGAATTCTTGGTACAAACCGCGAATAGGTGTGACAATTAAGTGCCGGACTAACCAACCTAAAGAATTCCTTCTCCGTACATAGCAGCTCTCTTGTGTAATTTTTTTCTTCTTTATTTCATATACCAAAATGATTCTATTGATGTATGGGGAAGTTGTCTACTTTAATCAGGAATTGTGCCTTATGCCGAATGTTAATTTTTTTCCTTTTCTCGTATCTCACCTACACAGATGGAATTTGCCTGACATTTGATAACTACTAGTGATAAATTCTTGTCTTTCGTGACTTAGAACTTGTCAATAACTGTCTCGTTAGGGACTGCTAAATACTGATAGATGATAACATATTGTTAGGATGCTAAACATGTAATGTCAGACTTTCTGTTTTACCTCAAACGTAGCAATAACTTCCATTTCGTTACGAAAAGAAAGTGAAAATGCAAGCGTCAAAGGACTTGTTGACATTTAGTAAACTTGAAACAATTTCTAATCAGCGTTTTGAGGTTTTCAAGAAGTTGTGTAACAAAAAAACCCCTTTGAATTGTTGTGTTTCAAATGTTTATTTATTTTCCTTATGCCGATTATCTCAGCTTAGCAGGAAGGGGTTTCATTCTTAATGTGTTTCCTTTGAAACATTATAAGTAAATAGCAATCTTTTCATACAAAGAAATTTCGTGTATTGCACGCAAGGGGAAACGTATCTATATTAGCTGAAGTTTTTCTCGGCATTCAGTAAAAATATGTTGAAAGATTTGTTAAGCAAAGCACAACGATATTTTTATCGTATAGAATAAGTTAACGCTTTTTAAAGACAGATATATCGTACCGCATTGAATTGAAGAGGTTATCAGGACAATTCCAGTCTCGTGTTCACCGAGAAAAAAAATAGTCATGATACACATTAATACCTCAGTAGTTTGCTTCAATGATACATTCTGGCTTTCTTCCAGATCTTTAGATTAACAGGTTTTCAAGTATCAATTAGTATTCTCAACGCACTTTAGGTGAAGTAAATTATGAGTAATGCAAGAGATACATAACGTTTCCAAACCATTTAAACTCCATAAGTTTTAGTTAAAGGTAAACTCCGATTATGAACCAGGAAACTTAAACAAAGGGAAATTCATCGGTAAATTGGGTTAGATCGTGGTTTTGTTTTCATGCCGCACCTCGTCTCTTGGTAAATTGAAGATCTCGCGGCTATCATCAGTTTGAAACACCGACAATGTGTTCTTTTGTTTCCTTCCCCTGTTAACTACGACTAATTTGACAGCTGAAGAAGTCCAAGCATTTAGGGAACGCTAGATTTGTTTCAAAGTGGCAAGGGAGATAAATTGGATCGATCCTAAGTCTACCTTGGTTATATAAATTGTCAGGCTTGACACACCGAATATATTGCTGAATTTTGCATTTATATATGCAAAGGAGAAAAGAATTCTTAAAACCTTTGCATTGCAGTTTTAGAATCGATTTTTTTTTTTTTAAAACGAAGACATTTCAAAAGTCCTGTTTCAATGAATTTTACTGAATGGATTTTAGGTCCTTATTAATAAAAAAAGCTCAATACAGGAAATCCTAGTCTAAGCTACCAACCTCAGACGAAACAGATGTGCATGGGTTTACACTGACAATGTGCGTCAGAGACAGAAACCACTAACATCATCTCTCATTAAACACCTTGAGTTCTCGCCTCAAAAATTTACAGGCTACGTGAAAAGCCGGTATGAACAACAATGAAAAATTTATGCAAACGTTTAACCGCCTCCCGGTTAGCTCAATGGATAGAGCGCTGAACTGATGTGCGGGAGGTCGAGGGTTCGAGTCCCGGCCGTACCAACACTCAAGGTCTTAAAATAAAAATAAGGAGAATATGCTACCTTTCTATAACATCAAGAAATGGTTAGATATTCTAGTCCTCTCGGATAGGGACGAATAAATGGAGGTCCCGTCTCTTGCAGATGTTAATTTCCCACGCACGAGATTACTATGTGATGGATGTCCTCCCCTTGGGTGGGATGGGTGGGTTGTTGTCTTGCGTTTCATACATGAGCTTCTGGGTAACCATGGGTAACCATGCCCCACGTAAAGAC